GGATATGAATTTTAAGAGGTATCCTTATGACAATTATTCTGACTGTCGAAAGTGGCGTCTTAAACTGCATTAAATTTCATCGGCATCTTTTTTTCTGTTAGCAAACGATCATCGTTCTTCAACAACTCTTTTACCTTTTGATAGAATTACAGAAAACAGTGACGCTGTTTCATATCATTTATGACGATTGTCTTAGACCCTGAGTCAATTCATAGACTTAGTTATTCATTAAATATAAACGCCATTGAAATATTAGATGTGGAAAAAGTTTTACAGACATTTTCTGTTTTGCATGTAATACTGTTCAGAAACATGATAAAACGTTGATTGTTTTTTTTTAAAAAGATGCCTATTAGCAAAATTTTACCAGGCTGCTAACATTGAACAAATGTGTCATTCTGTTATTTCTCATAAGGAAAAATCGGAAAAGTTCATTTTATGATTGATAACTAAGATCATTTTTAATCAAATCAATGTTAGATAAAATGGACCGTCGAAGGCACTGTAAGAAAAAACCAAAATGTTCATCATTCCACCAATACTTCTTCCGAGATCAATACTGATTTCTCCTTAAAGCCAAGTTTTCATCGGTTTTTTTTTGTTAAACTTAATTCTTTTTTATTTACTATTTCTTTCAACAGTTGAGAAAGTTTAATCTAGCGATATGTACATCGAGGTCACTGTTTTTAGACAATTATTTGAGAGCAACATAATAAATCAACAGTTTTCAGCTTTCTCTTATTTTTCCTTGTAGGAAATTGTACGATGATACGCACGTTTAGTGTTAGTCTGCTAAAATTCCGAAAAGACCTATAAAGATTTGGTCTTGTAATCTGAGTAGAACATTCAATAGGGGTATCTTTTGGAAAAAACGATCAACGTTTTATTATGTTTCTGAACAGAGTTATATGCAAAACAAAAAAATATCATAAAACTTTTGTCACATTCAATATTCTCATATCCTCATGTCATATAAATCGAAATCAACAATGTATATAAATTGCACATATGTATCAAATACGCCGTTATTCATTTATACTTGCCTTCGAAAGATTGTAAGTAATGGTCATATTCACCAATAAATATGCCTTTTATCTATTCCTAAACTTCGTTCATTGAATCTCAACACTTATTGCTGATACCAACCTATAGAATATAATTTTTATTTTCCATTATATCACTGCTCTTTCAAGTGCTTGCTGTATCGAACATACGTTTTTTCAATATGTTTCCAATAGCTTGGTTTACTGAATAATTATCTGCAATGTATTAAAATTACAGTAACGTTATAATTAATTATATGAACATTCTGCTGATGAATTTTTATCATATATCAATAAGTTAGAAATATTTTTAAAAAAATATAATTCTATTCTTGATTTATTCAAATTCTCTGGTGATTTTGTCACATCCACACCCTACTTGACATTCATAAGGGGAATAAAACAATAACAAAACCAATGTCAAGATATAGACTTCGAAATGTAATCCGTATAAACACATGGGTAATGAGAAAGGTTAAGTTTTCTTTTTATTGCTTATTCTTGAATTTCTAATAATAACAAATAAATAATGTAGCCAATTTGACTTAGTGATAAATGTGTTTGTCTTTGAGTCAATGTCAATCCAACTGAGCTAAATAATCTTTCACTAGATTACAATCAATTAACTGACTTTCCTGCATATGCAGGACTAGTATAGGAGAAAATAGGTTATCTGCAGGGAACGCGTCCTGTGAAGTTCTCTGATAATCATAAAATGTTGCATTCAATGTTTCCAACATTCTATGCTAGTTCATGAATTCTTTTTCTCACCGTACAGGAGGAGGCATCGATTGAATTTGATTTAAGTCGAAAAAGAAAAGAAAAGGCAAAGTTCATGATGACATACTAACATTTAGAGATTGATTAATATTTTTTAGTGAATTATTCTTCCTTATTTCTTTGTATTTTATTAAGTCTATTGAAAAATAAATAGGTTTTCTTGAATCAAGTTATAATAAAAATAATTTTCGAATGTTTATTGAATGAAAATTGTAATGAATGTTTAAAAGGAAAGAAAGAAAAAGCAAATGAAGAAGAATGTCTAATGCTAATACATTCTATCGGTTACTATTTGTGCATCAAGGCTATCAATTCTATTTCTTTGTCTGTGATTGTCAATATACATTATATTTCAAGGTACTTTTAAATGTACAATGCACAAAGCATTCTGTAGTTTATCAATAATAAATTTAAGAACATTAGAAAAAAAACCGATTATATTGCTCATTTTATTAAAAGAACAATTTTTTATAGGATGAAGTATGAAAAAGATACTTCATCATTATTATTACATATTTCAAAGCGTTTACTTTTTTTTCTGTAATCCAATATTATCTTTTGGATTGTTCACTTATATCAAGTAATTATCATATATACATATCACCTATCTTTTGTTTCAATGAAAACGTAACAGTATCTTTTTGATCCGTTGAATTATGCATAAACATGATATTACGTATGTTCATTAAACATTCCGTTTTTTTTGAAAGATAAGAAACGATCAAACAAGAATATATTTCGACAATTGTTTTTTTCTTTTCGTTGTTCTTTGTTCAAACATACAAAATAAAGAGTAGGCGATTTTATGGAGATGTATCATTCATTTCCTCATTATGTAAATCTCGAAGTAGTATAACATATATATTGTATGTAGCATCGTAAAAAAAAAAAGTTTTAGTTTGTCTTTGTATTCGTGCGAATATTGATTGATTGTTGGTCAGATCATCAAAAACAATCATGTGTCACTATTATATTAGAGCAGACACGAGACGACCTTCTTCAAGTAATTCGTATTTAATATAACTTTTTTTTTTGTTATTGTTGTTGTTGTTGTTGTTGTTATTATATACAGACATTGTGTGAGGGTCAACTAAAAATAATTAATGTCTCGCTTTTTTTTTCTTTTGTGTAAATACAATATTAAGTTTTGTACCTATATGTTAATAGAACGAATATCTGTATTGATAAAAAAAAACCTTAAAATGAATGCTAGCAGTTGGTACCAACATTCTATCGAGTATGAATAAAGTTCATTTGATAAATGTAAAAAGATATATGTATATATATATATATATTAAAATCAACTATTAGCTTTCAATGTCGAACACTATTATGAAATAAAGTGTACGAAAAAAAAGAGTCATATTCCGTTGCACTCGAGTGCCAAATATATGTACCAATTGTAGGGTCTTTTTCTTTTTCTTTCTCTCTTACATTTTCTTATCTATAAGATCTGATCTTTCAGGAAGGTCATCATCATAAAAAAAAAAGCAGAGAAAGCTAGGAAGAAAAAAAAGACAATGTTAATATTAACTTCAGGCTGTCCAACAATGTTTTTCGTTCTCTTTTTTTTTCTTTGTATTATACCTTGACAAGAACCTTGTGTCTTTTTCGTTAGAAAGATATTTGTGATATATATTATTACCTTGTCTTTCTGCATCAATTTTCATAGTAAAATATATCGATTAACATTGAACACTTACAGAAACATAGTAAAAACTAATTGAAAGTGAGAGTCATAAACGCAAACATGTAGACTTCATCGAAATAGTAGACATATAAGATTCTTTTAGAGCCATATATTTATCAGAATATATGATCGATATTGACAAATTATCATCTTAAGAGCAGTACTGATCCAAATAATTATCATAAGGAAAGTATCTTACGCTCGTATACACTGTTATTGATGTAGGATAAAAAAATAGAAATTATTTCCAGACGCTCATTAATCAGTTTGGTTTTGTTCTCCGACAATCGAAGTTGTATCCTTATACTTTATATTTTAGATAGGAATGTTTGATTGAATAAAATAGATACAGTATGGATTATTTCAATTATAGCAAATCATCATCATCATCTGTTAATTATCTTAATTCAACTGAAGGAATTCAATTTGATGGTCAATCATATGCACTCTACGGTATTACAAAATAAAACTTTATTCGATCTTTTTTTTTTAAATTATAGTATGCATTTGGTTTTTGTTTTTTTGTAGATCCTAATTTTAAAATTAAGGATTCATTTGTTATAAATTTTCAAATAAAAACATTTGCTCATGATGGTCTTATTTTATGGATTGATGATCCTTTACCAGAATCAAGTTTTACAATTGAAATTCAAAATCGACAGGTTTTATTTATTTATTTATTTTCTTCTTGTATTGAATATTTATCTTTATCTTTATTTTGTTTTATATTTGTGATAAATATAGCTTATAGCTCGAGCTGTTATACATGGTCAACCATATAGTGTTCGTACAAATTTTACAAAAAATCGTTTATGTGATGGTGTATGGCATTGTGTTCAAATACGTCTTGAAGGTAGTTTACTTTCAATGAAAGTTGATAAACGACATTATTCAAAAACTGAATCACGTGCTCATTCATTTGATATGCGTGGTCCATTATTTATTGGTGGTTATTCGGAAAAATATTCACCATCATATTTATCAGTTCGTACAAATTACTTTCTTCATGGAAATTTACGACATTTAAAAATTAATGAAAAACAAATTGATTGGCTTGCACCACGTCATACAACAGCTATACGTGAATTTTATAATTTAAGTACAAAAATAATACCATCAAATAATGATCAAATATTTGAAAATTCACCAACTTTAATTAAACGTACATTAGAAAACAAATGATTTCTTTTATAAAAAAAAAAAAAATTAACAAACATATTCGAACTGTAGTTTGATTCGATTTATTTGAGAA